GATTTATTCATAATCTGATTTTCGAAAAATGAAATAGAAATTACTTCAAATAGGACTAAAATTATGGCAAAAACTCAAAATAGGACTTCCTATGTTTTTATTCCAAAATAGGACCATAGTGGTCCTATTAGAAACATACTCATTTTTTCCTTCCATTCTTACCCCTCCTTTAAATATTAGTAAAAGATAGCTAAAAATCATAATTAAATATTGAATTCATAATAAATCCGAAAAAATTTCAATAATTCGTAGAAAAATAATAAAAGAATTAATAAAAATTTTATAAAATAAAAAATAAGAAGTTTTTTTTTAAAAAAATTAATAAAAAATAGTAAAACTCCATAAAAAAAATTAAAAAATATGGATACCTTTCCCACCACCTGTACTACCTCCCTGAACCACCACCTCTGATCGGTGTAAAAAATGCCACTTTTTTTTAAATTCCACAAAAATGGCATATTTCTCTATGAGAATGCCAACATTTTCATTCTGCCAACTTGAATCCTTTTGACTTTTGCCAAAAATATGGCATTCATAATTTTTTTGGCATTTTTTACCCCGGTGACAGGAGGTGGTGGTACCGCCTCCCTGCACCACCACCTCCGACCGTTAAAAAAATGCCATATTTCCTACAAACTTCCATTTTTTTCGGAAAATGCCAAAAATATGGCATATTTCTCTTTGATAATGCCAACATTTTTTTCTGACATCTTAAATCATTCTGAATTATGCCAAAAATATGGAATTCATAATAAATTTGGCATTTTTTCCCCAAATGACTAGAGGTGGTGGTGCTGGGGCGGCAGAGGCGGCGGTGACAAAAAAATCAATTTTTTTTATTTTTTTTAATTTTTATTATTTTTTTTTGAATTTTTTTTTAAGTTTATTATTATTCAAAATATTTTTATTAATTTTTTGGTGTATTTTACGAATTTTTATTATTTTTTATTATTTTATTATGAATTAAAACATTCCAATAAGTATAAGGGTATATTTGTCCAAGACACACATAATTAGTCTTATGGAAACATAGTTTATTTTTTGGTCCTATTTGTGCAAAGTGAATGACTTTTAGTCCTATTTTGATAATTAACTCAAAATGAAATCATGATTCAATTCTTAATATTTTAATGAAGAAGAAGATAATTGAAGAATAAAAGAAACAATCACAATAACACATTCAAACATTATTATTCGCAAAAGTGGATTTGAAGACCAAAAGAAAAAAGGGAAAAAAAATCAGATGTGTGGAAGAAAGAGATGGACAACCGGACAAATTGGTGAAGAAAGCGAACTGTCTACGAACTACAATTTTTATTAGGAAAAAGGGTCATATACACCCTCTTACTATACCAAAAGCATCACTTCAACCCTCTTACTTAAAAAAGCATTAGATAAATACACATACTATTAAAAAAAGATCAGATGAGTCAAGTGACCGGATGAGCACTTTCTATTGCAGGTCATTTCTATGCTTCTCTTTTTTATTTAATTTTTTCATTTTCTTTTATGCTTTGTGTCCCATACCTTACATACGGAGTACTTGATACGGAGTTCAGTATAATGGTTCCTTTTCTTTCTTTTTATTTTTGTATACGGTTCACGTGAGTCCCACCCAATTTTCTATCTTTCTTTTGTATTCCTTTTCTTTCTTTTTATGGAGTTCAGTATAATGGTTCCTTTTCTTTCTTTTTATTTTTGTATACGGTTCACGTGAGTCCCACCCAATTTTCTATCTTTCTTTTGTATTCCTTTTCTTTCTTTTTATTTTTTGTCTAGAATTTACAAATTTCTCTTCCCTTTTTTACTTTACTTCTCATATTTAAATATAATAAATCTCAGAAGAAGATAGATCTAAAATTCTTTTTCTAATTTTATGACTTTTCATAAATATATACTATCCGTATTCTTTATTTGCTACATTTTCACTTTTTGATAAAAAAAAATAAATAAATAAATATATACTCTACATATTCTTTATTTGCCACATCTTTACTTTTTGATAAGTTTTCATTTAAAAAATACTATTACCTCCGCCCTAAAAAAGATCTTCCAATTGTCGGCTACGAAGTTTGACCAACAATAAGTTTAAATCATCCATGTGAAAACTCAGATTATTTTTAGTAAATAATCTACATATTTACTATAAAAAAATGCAGATTTTTTTACATATTCAGAAACTACACTACAAAGTCTTCAAAAAATAATTCAATTTTCATAAAATTTTGATATATAAAGTAAAAGATTAAGAGTGATTTAAGTTGACTCGAAAAGCGAAATGGAAAATCTTTCATGGATGTAGGGAGTAAATTATTCTTACTTTTAGTACTTTTTATCAAATGTTTTTATAGTTCAATTCAAATTAAATTTAGTTTTTTCATCATAGAGGTTTTCCAGAATATGAATTCAGGAATCACATTACCGTTACTTAGGAAAAATATTGCTAGGAAGCAATTGACTTGGATGGGAGTCCGACATAAAATATTTTTTATAGGAGAAGTTATTATTTTAGTTGCTTAATTATTTTCCATATCGAATCTCTCAATCTTGTCCCCGTATATTCAATATTCATATACTCACAAAAATATTTGAGATTAGGCAAAAATTTAAAATTGTACTTTTTATTCAAAATTTCAAAATCATTTACATGTATAATCTCTGTCTATAAAGTTAGTCCATACACAAAAAATGTCCATCAGATGCATCTAAAATTAGTGAATACTCCCTCTGTCCACTTTTAAATGTCCCGCTTTACCATATTGGGATATCCATATTTAAATGTTTCATACCTTATTTGGTAAAGTTTGTGTGGCTCAAAATCATTCTTACTTTATTCTTACTTTATCAATTGATATCAACCACGCAAACACATTTTTCTTAAAACACTTTATACAAAATATTGCTAGGAAGCAATTGACTTGGATGGGAGTCCGACAAAAGTACGTATTATTCTTAGTTCATGGATGATGATTTATATTATTTAAAGTTATTTTCCCATATTACTTCTGAAAAAGTGGTAGACATAAGTGTCTCTTAGAAAGGGTAATGAACAGTGTAGAAAAAGAAATAACAGAAAGTGAAAAAATACGGAGTATTAAAGAGAATATCAGAAGTAGAAAAAGTAAAAGTAATGTAATATCTTTAAAGAGAAAAGTTACCAAAAAGGAAACACATAGTAAACAAAAAAACATTTGTTTAAAAAAAAAGTGTAACAAAAAAATAAGGGGTGCATATTAATGAAAAGTCATAAAAAGAAAAAGGAATTTTAGATCTACTTTAAAGATTTCTTTGATTTAAATAACAAAGAAAATAAAGTAAAATGGGGGAAGAAAAAATTATACGTAGTACATTCAAGGAGAAGACATAAAAATAATACTCGTACTACTTAGATTTTGTTTGCAACCACTTGTGCTTAAATAAAAAGCACTTTAGTAGTAAACGTTGATAGTGTTGTAAGATAAGTGCTTTTTGTGTAATAGAAAAAGTAAAAAGTAGATTCTACACGGAAACCGAGAAAGTAAAAGTTGGTAGTATTTGGTAAAATAAGTGTTTTTTCTTAAAAAAGCTAAAACCACTTTTCTTAAGTGGTTACAAACAAAGTCTAAAGCCTCGGTACGTTAAAAAAAAAAAGAAAATATAGAGAACTACAGAGTACAATAAGGAAAAAAGAGGATTTTTTTACGGAAGAAAAAAGAGGAAAAGTTAGACAACATACATAATACATTTCGTACGTATATAGGTAATGTACTGAGTACGGAGTATAAGATACTACGAGTAGTATGAAAGAAAAAAAGAATCCAAAAAAGTAAATCAAAAAACAAAACAAATGTCAAATCAGGTAGTAACTTACCATAGAGGGTTAATATCCGGTGACTTGGCCCCAATGATCTATTTATAGCAGTAGGTATACTTATTTGATGCTTTTTTAGTAGGAGGGTTCAAATGATGTTTTTGATATAGTAGAAGGGTCTATTTGACCCTTTTTCCTTTTTATTATAAAACTACACCATATTAAGCTCTATACATCAAATTCACGGAGTAATAATTCCATCGTGCATATTGGGATCAGCACGGTGTTATGATTCCATATTTCCACGGTATAGTTTACATTCAAAAATGGAAACAACAATCGGTGCGTATAATCGAAGTCCTACATCCGCTTATGGCTTGTTCTGTGATGATTTTTATTTTATGTTTAATATAGAGCCCGTTTGGTGACCCCCTTTTTCGGCTTATCAGTCAGTTTTTTCACCAAACACGTAACTTTTAATTTTATGCGCTAAAGTATGTAATAAGTTGAAAAAGTAAGGTTGAAGTTACTTTTCTGGTTGTATTGGCTGAAGTTACTGTAGAGGATCATTTTAGCTAGCTAATTTTCATATAATTTTTTATTTTATTTATTAATAAAAAATATTTTAAATATAATTTTTTAATGAATCAGCAGAATCAGCCAATACAGCCACTTCAACAGGAACTTTATAAAATTCAGCAGAATCAGCCAATATAGCCAATTTTAATGTTACCAAACGGGCTCAAATCATAATCACAATTACAGTACACTTTTAGTGTAAATGGTTGTCTTGTGAGGAAAGGGGGGACAAGGAATTGAGGATCATACTAAATGCTAAGTTGATACCCAATTACCTGACATTTAAAACTCTGTATATGATGAGAAATGTAGCTGTATTGACCGAAAAACCTTAAATTAGATAAGATGGTGGCAATAATCCAAGATTCCAATCATATGATATCGTGACATATGTGGTGTTGTCAATTAGCAAGGGGTGTATGCTAAAGTGCGATTAGTAGTGACATGAATGTTAGTGCATCATTATGGGAACTTTTAAATTTATGTATTATGCATGTCTCTATTAGAGATACATCATAATCATATTTATTTAATGTATTTAATTAATGTAAATCTTATCTCGTAGTTAGTTGCTAGCCATTATCTACTCATTGTACTCCTATATATACCTTTACATACTTCAATTGTAAATATACAAAAATCCTTTACGCATTACTTTCTATATGGTATCACAGCCTTGATCCAACTCCACTCATTTTTTTTTTCGAGCCTTCTTCTTCTTCATGGCTTCACCGCCACCTTCTCCCCATACCGAGACCACCTCCGGCAACATATCCACTGATGTTCATGTTCCAAACACCTCGGAGCCCAACAAACCCCTTCTATCTATCAATCTTGGGAATGTTATCAAACTTTCTCCCACAAATTATATCTCTTGGAAACTACAAATTCAATCCATTCTCACCGGCTATGGCCTTGAAGGATTCCTAGACGGATCACATCCGTGTCCTCCTGCCACTATCACTTCCAATGGTGTCATCAATCCCAACCCGGCTCATGTCTCCTGGATCCGCCAGGATAAACTTCTTTTTGGTGCTCTCATCGGTACTCTCACACCTTCTGTTGTTTCCCTTATCACACGTGCCAACACCACTAAGGATGCATGGGATACTCTTTCTTCCGTGTATGCGCAACCCTCTCGTGGTCATATCAAACAACTCCGGTCTCAACTAAAAAAATACACCAAAGGCTCCAAGACCATTACCGAATATATGCATTTTATTAAAACCGCTGCCGATGAATTAGCTCTTCTTGGGAAACCCTTGGATCATGAGGATTTCATTGAAACCATTCTTGATGGTCTTGATGAAAGTTACAAATCGGTTATTGATGCTGTTGATGGTCGTATTCATTTATTCCAGAATTCAACTAATTATATGTGTAGTGCATGGTGGAGTCACAGAAGTTCCGTAAGTGGTCTCGACTTCTTATGTACAATTGTACAAATTAAATATAGATATATATGTTGACAGGAGTATTCAGGTCCGGCCAGGCCGGACCACTCCCCTGTCCGGCCACCTCAATTTGAAGTGGTTTCCGGTGGTATTTTTGACCCTTTTTTTTTTTTAATGTTCATCATCAAGTCTAGTTTATTCATACCAAATTTGAGCAAAAAAATTCAATCGGGAAGGTCGTCAAATGATTTTTGCAAGTTAACTGGTCCGGAATATATTTCTCCTTAGTAATATGATATTATTAATAAAAATTTATCAAACACACAAGACCGTGAAAAGAGAGAGGGATTTGTTGCTCTATCCTTCCTTGGTTCCTCTTCATTAGAAATTTAGAATCAAATCCAATCATTTTATAGATCCCCATTCGAGGAACAATGTAAGTATAGTAGTTCTTAGAAGTTAGAACAATGAGTGAATGTTTATAATAGTTTTTGTCATAAAAATTATACGTAAAAAACAGAAATTTTGTCATCTATCCAAATACTAATATAACAGGAAATGACCCTCAATAGGACTAAAAAATGTTTGTATATTTTAAAATAGGGCTATCATGTTTTTATTCCTTAAATAGAAGTAATTACAGTCATGTTATGCCAGTATCAAACCTTAAACACGACAATATTTTCCAAGTTTGACGGTAATAATTACTCCTATTTATGGAATAAAAACATGACAGTTCTATTTTGGAATTCTCAAATATTTTTACTCCTATTTCAGAAATTCTTCCGATAATATAACACATCAAAGAAACTAATATAGAAAACTATTAGAAAAAATATATTTAAGGAGTAACTTTTTCATATTAGAACAATTATTACTTGCAATAAATAATTTTGCATTAGGGAAAGACGTGAACGATATACTCCCTCCGTCCCGCAAAGATGTTCTCGCTTTCCATTTTTGGATGTCCCAAAAAGAAGTTCTCTTTCCCTAAATGGAAAGTTATCCTACATCAAAACAGTGTCAAACAGTGCAAAACAGTGTCAAACAATGTCTAAACAGTGCCAAACAGTGTCTAAACAGTGCCAAACATTGTCTAAACAGTGATGTCAAATTTATTTCCTAAATATGTGTGTAGGTCAAACCGGGAACATCTTTGCGGGACGGAGGGAGTATCATTTAAAGAGTAACTTTTTCATATTCCAGATCACATTTTTTGTAGACTAAAATAAACTGCAAATTTCTAATCAAGATGCATAGTTCAATCTTTCACTAGTTCACTTACATGAGAGAACCAAAGAAAATCAGTAAATGCTACCAATGAATCATGAGTATACACGAGCTGAGGAATTTTAATGTGGATGCCTCAAAATTTTAGGTTTGAATCGTATAAATGTTGTTGAATAACGAGTTGAAAGTATGGAAAAATTTATAAGTTTGATTTTCATTTCTTAATTTTAATAATAATATAATGTATATAGATATTTAAAATATAGTTTAAAGATCAAATGAGAATAATGCTTAACCTGAGAGCGTGAGTATACCCACGTTTATTCCAATATGATGCACAATGAGGCTCACCAGTTGCACATTCCACATTATGCGTAATATTTATCAAAATTTCACCGCAATTATTTAATGGTCTTTGTATGAGCAAAAGTGAAAAACTGCACAACATGATAGTATATGTACACGGAGTATATAATTGAAGAATTTATGGACTCTGGCTATGAGTGCATGCCCTATTGCTCTTGCTTCACGATTGGCCCTGACAATTTCATTAATTACACACATGCAAAATATTCAAAAAAATATTAACTGAAAGATAGATAACAAAAAAAGAAGTGTTGTGAAATGAAGAAGATGCAGAACAGATTAAAGAGATAGATATAATAATAAAAGCTCTAAATTATTTATTCTTAATATATGATAATTTCTGAATGAATTTACAAGGTTTCACCAAGCTCCTATTTATAGTGATTGAGCTTGATGATTAGTCATCTAAAGGATGACTCTACAGATTTGGTGGCAATAACAAATTGAGCCATCTGTTCTAAGTTGGTTACAAGGATTGATGCTAGATTAGTGTCCTGATTACAAGGATGAATAATTCACACCTGTAATTCCCATGATTTTACAACACTCCCCCTTGAATGTTCATCCTTGAATAGTTATTTTGTTATTATGAAAAATTAGTGTGAAAGTTAAGGGGTAAAGATTACGACATATAATGTCATTGTATTTGGATGTACTGTCTCGTTAAAAACCTTATCAGGAAAAACCCAGTGGGATAAAAACCTGATGAAGGAAAAAAGAGTGCAGTGCATTCAAATACTCCCCCTGAATTTAGCATAAATTATGAAGGCGGCGCATGCCGATTTTCTGTACAAGTTCTATGAACTTCTTCGGGGGCAATGACTTGGTGAAGAGATCAGCCGGATTTTCACTGGATCTGATTTGTTGAATGTTGATCGTCCCTTCTTTCTCCAGATCATGAGTAGAGAAGAACTTTGGTGATATGTGTTTCGTTCTGTCTCCTTTGATGTAGCCTTCTTTAATCTGAGCTATGCACGCAGTGTTGTCTTCGTAGATCACAGTCGGGTGACAAGTAATAGGCTTCACACCGCATTCATTTTGGATGTGTTGAATCATAGACCGCAACCACACACATTCTCTTCCGGTTTCATATAATGCAATTAACTCCGAATGATTTGATGATGTAGCTGTCAATGTCTGCTTCATAGATCTCCATGAGATTGCGGTGTTACCACAAGTAAATACGTACCCGGTTTGTGATTTCGCCTTTTGAGGATCTGATAAGTATCCAGCGTCTGCATATCCGATTAAAGCAGCTTTTGCATCTTTGTGGTAGAATAAGCCGAGATCAACTGTACCACGTAGATAACGGAATATATGCTTGATCCCGTTCCAATGACGTCTTGTTGGGCATGAACTATACCTAGCTAATAAATTTACAGAAAATGCAATATCTGGTCTAGTATTATTAGCTAAATACATTAAAGCTCCAATAGCACTCAGATATGGTACTTCAGGACCGAGTATTTCTTCGTCGTCTTCTCGGGGACGGAATGGATCATCGTGTATGTTGAGAGATCGAATGACCATTGGTGAAGTCAAAGGATGAGCTTTGTCCATATAGAATCTCTTCAACACTTTTTCGGTGTAATTGGATTGGTGGATGAAAATTCCATTCTTCAAATGCTCAATTTGAAGTCCGAGACAAAATTTGGTTCTCCCGAGATCTTTCATTTCAAATTCTTTCATAAGATATTTTGCAATATTTTTAATTTCATCGGGAGTTCCAATAATATTTAAGTCATCAACATATACTGCAATTATGGCGAATCCCGAATTTGATCGCCGAATGAAAACACATGGACTAATCGGATCATTCTTATATCCTTCTTTGAGAAGGTATTCACTGAGACGATTATACCACATTCGTCCAGATTGTTTTAGTCCATACAATGACTTTTGTAATTTAATGGAAAACATGTCTCGAGGTTTCGAGCTATAAGCTTCAGGCATTTTAAATCCACCGGGAACTTTCATGTAAATGTCTGTATCAAGTGAACCATATAGATAGGCGGTCACTACATCCATTAGGCGCATTTGCAACCTTTCAAAAATAGACATGCCAATGAGAAACCTTAATGTAGTTGCATCAACTACTGGAGAATAGGTTTCTTCATAATCGATTCCCGGCATTTGAGAAAAACCTTGGGCAACAAGTCGGGCTTTATATCTAACAATTTCATTTTTCTCATTGCGCTTACGCACAAATACCCATTTAAAACCCACAGGTTTTACGCTTTTTGGCGTAGGGACTATCGGTCCAAAAACATCACGTTTTTCAAGTGATTTTAATTCAGCCTGAATAGCTTCATTCCATTTCGGCCAATCGTGTCGTTTCCAACATTCTTCAATTGATGTTGGCTCATTGTCATTGCTTTCATTCATAACATTTGTGGCAACGGCATAGACAAATATCTCATTAATACCAAAATCTTTTCGATTCCATTGCATTCCAGTAGAAACGTAATTTATTGAAATTTCATAATTATCAACGTTTCTATCAGTATCTGGAATATCTTCCTCATTTAAGGAAGTTGGATCATTATTTGAGATGTTTGTTTTGTCAATATCATTTTCTATGCCAGTATTTTCAAATTGTTCATTTTCTTGTTCAGAAGGATGAACATCTTTGGCATCACAGATCAATTCCTGCCTTTTAGTTCTTCTTGGTTTTATGTCTTTTGATCCAAGGGGCCTGCCACGCTTTTTGCGTATAGAAGAATCATTTGCAAGAGATTTTTCAAAATTCTCTGCTGGAATTTCGATTCTGGCAGGGGCATTCATAGCAGGAATATGTGACTTTGTCACTTTCTTTGTATCTGTGAATGCATCAGGCAACTGATTTGCAACATTTTGTAAATGGATTATCTTTTGCACCTCTTGCTCACATATATTTGATCTAGAATCAAGGTGTGATAATCCTATTGCATTCCATGTTATTTCTTTCGTAGTTGGGTCCGATTTATTAGTTTCTCCCCCTAAGGTTGGGAATACTGTCTCATTGAAATGACAGTCAGCGAACCGTGCAGTGAATAAGTCACCAGTCATCGGTTCAAGATATTTGATTATTGAGGGAGATTCAAATCCAACATAAATTTCCAACCTTCTTTGAGGACCCATTTTTGTACGATGAGGTGGAGCAATCGGAACATAAACAGCACAACCAAATATTTTTATGTGTGCTAAGTTTGGCTCTTGTCCATTAACTAATTGCATTGGGGAATATTCATGATATGCAGTCGGTCTAAGCCGAATTAAATTTGATGCATGCAAAATAGCATGTCCCCAAGCTGATGAAGGTAAATTACACTTCATTAATAATGGTCTAGCGATTAATTGTAATCGTTTAATCAAAGATTCAGCAAGACCATTTTGTGTATGGACATGAGCAACAGGGTGCTCCACATCAATCCCAATCGACATACAATAGTCGTTAAATGTTTGGAATGTAAATTCTCCTGCATTATCAAGTCGGATTCTCTTTATAGAATGATCCGGAAAATGAGCTCTTAACCGTATAATTTGAGCAAGGAGTTTAGCAAATGCTAAATTTCTAGTCGATAAAAGACTAACATGTGACCAACGTGTTGAAGCATCAATCAACACCATAAAATATCGAAATGGTCCACATGGAGGGGCAATCGGCCCACAAATATCTCCTTGAATCCTTTCTAAAAATGCAGGTGATTCAGTTGCAATTTTGGTCTTAGAAGGCCTGATGATCATTTTGCCAAGAGAACAGGCCTTACAAGGAAAATCACTTGATAATGGAACCCTGATATTCTTTAATGGGTGTCCAAGTGAAGTCTTAATGATTTTATGCATCATTACTTGGCCTGGGTGACCTAAACGGTCATGCCACAACATGAATGTTTTCTGATCATCTAACTTTGTGTTAGAAACCAAATTTATTTCAAATGGACTAATATATGTGAAATATAGTCCTGAGGAATAAGCTGGCATTTTTTCACAAATATGTTTAATGCCAAATTTAGTTGTCGTAAGACAAAGATATTCCTTTTGGTTTTCATTCATGGTTTCTATGTGATAACCATTTTGACGCATATCTTTAAAACTTAATAAATTTCTCCGCGATTTGCTTGAGTATAAAGCGTCATTTATAAGTAATTTTGTCCCGTTAGGGAGCGTCACATATGCTTTCCTAGAGCCTTCAATGAGCTTTGCAACACCTGATATTGTATTGACTTTAGCTTCAACTAAAGTCATTTGAGAAAAATATATTTTATTTCTCAAAATGGTGTGCGTTGTGGCGCTGTCTATCAGACATAGCTCTTTATCATTTGAGTGATCCATATCTTCAATATATGTAAATAAACATAAGTTTGATATGTAGATATCACAAATTATGCATATTATTTAACTTAAAAGTACATATATTACACATTTATTTGTGAGAACAACGTAAAAGAAAAAGTACATAATACATGAAAACATAAACTACTATTTTACAACATGCAAAAGTCTTATAATTTATTTTGTGTTATTTTGATCAGTGGCAAAAGCATCGTCCATTATGCTATCATCCATGAAGAAGTCGGACACATCGAATTTTGGCAGAGATGGAGTTGTGTCATTGACATAATTAGCTTCCACATTTTTGCCTTTGTTCAGATTCATGGAAGCTTGAAATAACTCCACAAGATGCTTCGCAGTACGGCATTTATTAGCCCAGTGTCCCGTCATGCCACATTTGTAACAAGTCGTCTTCACCGAGGTTTTTGTAGGACGATTTGTTTGATGGGCTTTTTGTTTGCCCTTGCCCTTGTAATTTGGTCTTTCGACCCGTTTATATCCTCGGTGGGACTTGTTATTATGACCATTAAAATGCCCACGTTTAAAATGCCTTCGTGTGCCACTGTGTGTTGCGTTTGATTCAGTGGCAATGTTATGTCCAGATGGACCATAAATCGAAGGACTAGAACCAGTGGGTCTCAGATTATGATTTTTCATCAAAAGGTCATTATTTTGCTCAGCGACCAATAAAACTGATATAAGGTCAGAGTATTTCTTAAAACCCTTTTCTCTGTATTGCTGCTGTAGCAGCATATTAGAAATATGCATTGTAGAAAAGGTTTTCTCCAACATATCAGCATCCGTGACTTTTTGTCCGCATAACTTTAGTTTAGATGTTATTTGGAACATGGCAGAATTATAGTCACTGATTGATTTAAAATCCTGGAATCTTAAATTGATCCAGTCATATTGAGCTTTAGGTAAAAGGACCTTTTGGTGGTGGCCATACCTCTCTTGTAAATTGTCCCATAGTTCTTTTGGGTCATCAACCAAAAGATATTCAGATTTGAGACTTTCATGGAGATGGTGACGGAGGAAAATAATAGCTTTCGCTTTGTCTTGGGCAGATGACGGCTTATTTGCCTCAATAGTGTCTTCCAGGCCGTTAGCTTTCAAATGTGCTAAAGCATCTACTTTCCATTCCAAATATTTTTGACCGGACAGATCAAGAATGTCGAATTCTCTTTTGCTAATGTTGGCCATTTTAGACTACAAGATTATTAATTTAAATTGATTTAGTAGTGCTACATAAATGAAATAAAAGTATTGCTATTGTTCAAGTATAGATAATATATACTGAATGAATACCCGTAACTTGTTAATAGTTCAATTTAAACTATTATAAACTATGCATGTATTTTGTATACTTCGTATAATATTAGATTGTAAACAAGAAATAAAGAAGAAAAGTTAATGCATGAACATCATTATTTTAAATAACATGCTACCTTTTATATATACCTTCATAATTAAATCTAACGGTTGATTTGTTTGAGCACATACTTAAACTGCTCTAAAACCAAGATATTTGTTTTTGTTTTAATTTGTATACGAATTACGAAGTACTTATTTCAACTTCTAATAATTTATACTACGTATGTAAAAAGTATACAGAAGCAATTTATACTTATTTAGTAAAAGTAACTAATTTGAATTTGAATGTTTACGGTCAAAATAGTGTTGGATAAGTGCTTGGGTAGTTGGGTGAATAAAAGAAAATTCTGAAAGTTGTCAGCTATATATGTGACTGAAACAGTTGAAATAATCACAAGGCATACTAGGACAAAATTCACCGCCCAAGAAAGAAAAACTAGCCATTCATTTAGAGAGTCATGCATGTGACTATTTATTACTCCTATTTCTTAATCGGTTCTCCTATAATTGAATGGCTTACATATAGTCATATACTAAACAGTTAGACTTTGTTCCCAATCGGTTCTCCGGCCTCTTTCTTTCACTACTGACTACATTGGTTTTTATCTCTTTTCTTTCTTACGAATTGTAGTACTCAGATATACTCGATCTGTATGAATGGCTTATTATTTGTCTTCATACTTGTCTAAAGAATTTATCAAGATCCAGGAGAGTAAAGCTTTGAAGGTACATATATATATGTTATCTATATTTTTATTAAAACATTAAGCATTTATTTTGTTGAAACCATAGGCAACGTACGTATAAGTATTGATGTTTATACCTGCAGGAGATGATGATCTAAGGAGATTTTTGAGCAGATTCGTGCTGATAACGTGTTGTGAAATGAAGAAGATGCAGAACAGATTAAAGAGATAGATATAATAATAAAAGCTCTAAATTATTTATTCTTAATATATGATAATTTCTGAATGAATTTACAAGGTTTCACCAAGCTCCTATTTATAGTGATTGAGCTTGATGATTAGTCATCTAAAGGATGACTCTACAGATTTGGTGGCAATAACAAATTGAGCCATCTGTTCTAAGTTGGTTACAAGGATTGATGCTAGATTAGTGTCCTGATTACAAGGATGAATAATTCACACCTGTAATTCCCATGATTTTACAACAAGAAGTAACTTTACAATAAACCATACTTCTCTGTAACATTAGTTCTTCTCACTTTCTTTTTTCATCCGTAACATTCATACATTTTCATTTCCAAATCTTCACATAATACTCTCAATAATTTTGAAAATAATAATACACTATTACAATTACTTTTTAAAATTTAGAGCCCGTTTGGTAGCACCAAAATCGGCTGTTTTGGCTGATTCTGCTGAAATTTATGATATTCTGGCTGGAGTGGCTGTTTTGGCTGATTCTGCTGATTTAAGAAAAAAATATTTTAAAAATATATTATATTAATAAATTAAAGAAAAAATTATATGTAAAAATAGCTAAAATGGTCCTCTACAGTAACTTCAGCCAATACAGCCAGAAAAGTAACTCCAACCTTACTTTTTCGGCTTATTACACAATTCAGCGCGCGAAAGTAAAAGTTACGTGTTTGGTGAAAAAGCTGGCTGATAAGCCTGATAAGCCGAAAACAGAGTTCTCCAAACGGGCTCTTATCCTTCATTCCACCGGTCACCAGAGTATTCCCCCATCTTCCCATCACAGACTCAATAATTTATATTCCCTTTCACTATTTTTAGAGTGTTTGCGATTGTTTCAACTTAAAAAAATGATTTTTTTAAGTAATTTTGGAAAAAGTGTTTCATAGTAAAAATGAATAACGTAAATTCAAATATTCTTAATAAATTCAAAATATACTACGTAAGTACATGCGATGTTGAGATTAGATAAGTGCCATACTTATCAAATGATTGGGCCTACTAATTTAGAACCTTTTTAGTAAGACTCATATAGTTGGATGAATTTGATGAATCACATACATTTGAACAAAATCAGTCAAAAAGTACATACAGTTTTACATTTTTCATGATTACTAACCCAAGATGTAAAATAAAAAAGTTGGTATTCGCTACGGAGTTTTTTCTTTAATATCAAAAAGTACATTGTAAAAATTTGTATGCACTTCCTGAATTACATTTTGCTTTTCAGAAAGTTAGTTATCGAAAAAATTCTAAGTCTTACGAAAAAAGCTTTCCTTAAAAGGCATATTATTCAAAGTGAGAAGTTTAATAGGGGGAAACAGGGGCGGATCTAGGATTTCACGTTGGGGTGGGCTGAAAAACTTAATTGATAATACATTGAATTTTTTTCAAAATAAGCAAAAACTCAAATATAAACTTGTCAACAATAGAGTCTACATCTATCTTGAGGGTAATTTCTTTTTAATATAAACTCGTCAACAATAGAGTCTACATTTATACTGAGAGTAAGAAAGTAATCATCCATTTTGTTGCAGAGTGTTGTCTTTTGATGTTTCACGGCAGAAAATGATATTCTACGGTTGCAGTAGAAACAATAAGATGATCATTAAATGGGTCTGTAACTCCATAAAAAAGTCTTATTGAAATCGTCATAGTGATAATAATGATCAACTGTAGTTTATTTTTGGCAACGACCAACCATATATTTAGAAATTAGAATTCAAGTCCGGTGCATGAATTTATTTTTTTTTAGCAAAACTCATTTACTTCTTCAAGAAAACCTTCACATCCATTTCCGGTCAATTCCTAAAGAATGAGTTGTGAAGTAGAAAGATGTCTCATGGCTACCAAGATATCCAATGATTTTTTGAAGGCCTTGAGAGAGAACATTCGTTATTTCCATAACTTTGTGCATCAAAAGTGAATTGAACACAAATTCAAAACATGGAAAATGTCTATACACACTACGAACTTCTGTCCAAGACCTCACTTTTGTGCAATTAATGTTCTTGAAGATCCTCAAACACTTTACAAGTTGATGTGAACATGCTAATCAAGTTGTTATATTATATACCAAGTGCCATTTATTAAGTTGGAAGTGATGTGTATAACATTTTGATTAGATTTTTAGATGATAAGAATTTGATTTATGGGTTGGGCTGAAAAATTTGATTGGGCTATAGAAATATCTGGGGTGGGCTGGATGGAATTTTATCAAAATAATACCTTAAAAATATTATTTTTTTTTTACTTTGCCCTGGGCTTCAGCCCACCATAGCCCTAACATAGATCCTCCCCTGGGGGGAAGGAAGTTGGGTTATGCCTAAAATGTTAACTTAATTGGGGGATCCAAGGAGTATTTTGAAAAATTCTATTTGTACACATAATTTGTAGTCATTTGCCACACTTTTCTGTGTACATATTATATTTCGTTTAGAAAACAAACAACAATTGTCTATGTACACAGGGGTGTGAAGTATATTCAACATGTGTATACCCCTAGTTACCTATTTAGACAGACAACTCGTTTAGAAAAAATCGTCAATTGTTCATGTAGAGAGAATAGTGTGCCAAGTGCCAAGTGTGTACAAATTTGTGTACAAATGGAATGATTGATTGTATTTTTAGCGTCTAAGTAATCATGCACGTCGAATTGCTTGTCTTACTCCTCCTCAAGACATGTAATAGGGTTGTGTTTCCTGTACACGTTTATTTTCTTCAAATTGATCGTAAGATTGGCAGACAAAGACTTGTTTCTTGATGGCTACGGTTCCCATTTGTAAATTTTGATCTCTGATGATGGACGAAGAATGGAATGATTGGTGGCACATGGACAACAGATCACAGTTTTTTCTTAGTGTTGTCTACACTTAATTGAGGAACTGCTTATGGGGTGGCTAATAAGTAATTATAATGTTAATAATAATAATAATAATGATAATGATAATGATAATGATAATGATAATGATAATGATAATGATAATGATAATGATAATGATAATGATAATGATAATGATAATGATAATGATAATGATAATGATAATGATAATGATAATGATAATGATAATTGATAATGATAATGATAATGATAATGATAATGATAATGATAATGATAATGATAATGATAATGATAATGATAATGATAATGATAATGATAATGATAATGATAATGATAATGATAATGATAATGATAATGATAATGATAATGATAATGATAATGATAATGATAATGATAATGATAATGATAATGATAATGATAATGATAATGATAATGATAATAATACAAATTACGCTTAAATATCAATTCAATTTAATAAATCACAACACTTAGTTATGTGTACAACGACATAGACAATTGCTGTTTTTGCCCAACGTAACACAATAGTAATTGCCGACTGTTTGATTTAGTTCCATTTGATATGCAAGCTGTTATGACAAATTAATACTATGTTTGGCACAACGAGCTGGAGCTGTAGGCCAATGTCTGAATAAAGGGTTGGTGTCTGAATCAGAGCCTATTGTCTGGACTTGAACTTTGAAGTGCTGAATCTGAATATCCTACTGAATGAACTAAATATGTTTGGCAAAAACAACCCAAAGAGTGTCTAGAAAATGTAAAATTACATTAAATTGCATTTTTTATCAAACGATAACATCTTTGTATGTTGATTTTGAAATATTATACGGAGTATCAAATAAAATAATACTCCGTACGAAGTATGACATAAATAAAATAATACTCCGTAGATAATACTCCCTCCGTCCCGCAAAAATTCTGGGTTTGACCTACACACATATTAATGAAATAAACTTACCAGGGGTAAATTTTATCGTTTTGACACTGTTTGACACTGTTCGACACTGTTTTGCATTGTTTGTCACTATTTTTATGTAGGATAACTTTCCATTTAAGGAAAGAGAGACTTCTTTTTTGGACTGCTAAAAAGGAATCGAGAACTTCTTTGCGGGACGGAGGGAGCATGACAGTGAAAATCAAGTGAAGAACATCGGGAATGAAAATATGAGAAAATGAAAACATAAAGAAATAACGAGTGTAAAGTTGTAAGCCATATACGGAGTATGAAATAAAATAAAAATAAATAAAGAAACCATCAGAAGAATTGAAAAGAATTGAAAAGAACAAAGAATAGTGCAAGAGTCGCAACATAATTCATTGGTTCGGCAAAAACTCGGCCATCCATTCGACTTTAAAGTCGACAGAGGATATTCTGGGAACATTATTTGCGACTGGATAGAAACGCTAACATACTGAACGTTTCACTTAAGTTCATTAATTTCCATTTCAGCCTCTTCCAGTCATTCATCCGAACAGCACTTGTTTCAAGTTAATTAGCTGAATCTAATAAATTTCAGCGCATAATGAGCTGAATTTTCATGCCAATCATAGTCTATTCTCAGATGCTATTCCCCGTAACATTAAAAAAAGATCTTTTATTTTTTGAAAATCTTTTAAATTTTGTCATGTCAAACATACAACTAAAAGCTTTTAGAGACTTTTTAAACCGATCAAAAGTTAGAAGACAGAGATTTATGTCTGCCAAACATGCACTAAATGATGTCAAAAAGTTTTAATCCAACTAAAAACAAAGTTTTCTAAATAGTTAAGACGGCTGTGAGCTAAGCTGATCATGAAATGTTGATAATTACATTTTGTTGAGCACCATATGCATGTGTTAATAAGTTGGAGTGATGTAAAACGACGCATCAAGTAGATTTCTTGAATACATTTTTCAAACTTTCTAGATTATTAAAATGTTAGAAACTAGGGCTGGGACTTTGGAACAAAAAACCGGAGAACCGAACCGGACCGAACCGTTATGACCTGGTTCGGTTCCAACATTTATTAGTTATTTGTTAACGGTTCGGTTCCTATTTTTATTAACGGTTCGGTTCTCGGTTCCTGAAAAAAATATGTACCAGGAACCGTTATATGTAATAATTAAAATTAAATATATTTCTTATGAGTATATAAATTTTAATGTATATTTACTTATTTATTTTTATATCACACTCACTATTTTAGTTTAGTTATTTAACTATTTAAAACTATTATTCACTTCAACCGGTTCTCTTAAGCTTCTTAGGCCTCTCATTTTGTCCAAACTCCAGCGGGTCGGAACTCGGAAGGTCCAAACTATTTAAAATTATTATTCTCTTTAACCGGTTCAACATATTTGTATTGTAATTTCAAACGTTGAATGTCTTTTTAGTAAAAATTCAGTCGTGATTCGTAAGATTTTTTTCAAAGATTAGGAACCGTTAAATGACAAGAACCGAACTGTTAAGAACGGTTCGGTTCCTTATCGGTTCTATAAAATAATTTATAAGAACCGAACCGATAGTAAATTTTCACATTTTCAAACGGTTCCACATAGTTTGCCTAGGAACCGAACCGGTCCCAGGCCTATTAGAAACAATCTTAATTGAGTAACAGTGGAACACGGGGTACGGTGGTAATTGAGCACCCGCCTAAGTAAACCATTTTTAGTTCTAGACTAAAAATAGATGGCGTATTGTTTGAATGAAAATGTGAAAATATTTCTAAGTGCTCCAAAATCCAAATTGCTTATAGAAGCAATTTTTAGTAATTAGAGACCAATTTCTGAAAAACTCATTTAAATCTACTTTTATTTTTAAAAAAAGAAGCAAAAACATAATAAATTCCTAACACTCCCTTAGTTATATATGGATTATGTGTTAGGGTGTTTTTACTTGGTGTAATTTTCTTGTCTCATATGTTATTGTATGGTGACTATGGTCTATGGTCCCGAGTCCCGACTTCATTTTCAAAATTCAATTTACATCCTCCTAAATAATTGTTTTGTCAATTTTTAAAACCCTTATGAATATGGTAATACTCCGTATTAAATAATCAAATTGAGATGAGACAAATTAATCCTTTTTTATAATTTGATTTAAAAATTTATTCAAATAAAACCTTGTTAAAGAAATGCAAAATAATCCCTCAACTTGCATCCAAATTTCCAAACCTTCCTCCCAAACACACCCGAAAATCACAAACAAAAAGGGATATGTAGTTTATACACAGAACAGGATCCTTTTCCCTCTTTGTTGACTGCAGCAGTACAGGACAGTCCTTTTTCTTATACTCTCTTTCACAAAATAAGACAAAGACATCCATCACATGGGTTTCCTGCATTCCCCTTTACTTTACTTTTGCCAATTAATTAACAAAAGCTAAAACTACAATCTCCTTAGCAAAGCATACCCCATATGGATGCTATTATATCTTTTTTTTGTAATATACAATAAGAACACCTGGAAATCATTAAGTTGAAAGCAAACTCAACCAATTTCAAAACTCTAAGGTTAACTTAAGCTTAAAGGGCAACTCTAATATATAAATATAGTTAATATAAATATATTCCTCAGTAGAGAAGCCTTCAATGCATATTCTTGCAAGTCCTTTCTGCAGCAATTGCTAAGAGCCTTGACACACCTTGGGTCCAAACATCATACTCCCTTTGATCCCGGCACTCGAATTCGACCACTCCACGTAAGACGGTTCTCAGCCCAAAGTACCGGAAGTTCTCCCCGCCTTCCACCAAGTGTCGCCCCGGCCAAGCGGGAAGATCTCTCAACACCTCCATGACCACATCTGCAATCATTCATTCAATCATAATATGGAATAAACACCTACTCTTATTACTAGTAATAAAGTTGGTACTTCATTTGGTCAGTCCACTTAATTTCATACAGCCTTTCTCAAATCCCCAGGCAAAGAAGGGGTAGGGTAGGCACCCACCCACAAATTCTATTGTGGGTTTAGGCATCATTGGAGAGACAAAAAAAAGTAGAGTGAGAACTAAAAACCACCAGCTTACTCTTTTTCTTTTTTGTTATGGTCCCAGCAGCATATCTGCTCTTCATTTTCAACATCACCTATTGTTGTTAAAAGAGTCAGTCAAAGTACATATTGCATTTTGGCAGTATCAAAAGCTTATTCCATTGGCTGTATCAGGGAGAGCTTTATTTAATAATGGCTTAAATATGCTTGAAGTGCTTGCAAATATAGTACTTTTTGTTTTTCATCCTTGCAATATATACTACTCTGTATATTTTTGATAGTCCCTCTCTATCTAAAACTCCATTCAGAAAAATATTTGCTTTCAGAACACTACTCTAAATGATTCACTTCATTTTTATAACTCTTTGGATATTATTATTAGAGTTAAACTAGTCATTCACATTTTGAATTTTGAATATAGGTCTCAATGGTGATTTAGAAGTATAAACCATTTTTGGAATGAATTGAAAAGGGAAAAACAGAAAACATATTAGCCAGGCCGTCTTGTTGTCATACGAAGGCTGCTTGGGTCGAGAAGTGACTAAAGAAAAAAAAAATGCAGGGATGATTGAAAAGCTAAAATATGAATTTCACTTGGATTTAAAAAAAATACACTATACAGCGTATTTGAAAACATATTTAAGCTGTTATTTATTTATGTATTTATTTAGATGCAAGTTGTCAAAGAAGTTTGTTGTTATTGTGACTTCAATCATTTTGAGTCACTGTGTTTTTCACTTTAGGATGTAAAGTAGGGCACTTTAACAGCTGAAAAAGATAAATTCTTATTTGGAAGAAGAAGACAGACCTGACCCATTCTGTTAATGTACACTACAATTATCTTCCAATGAAGATCACCTGCAAAAAGCAATGGAATAAAAGCTTCAACTTATTGAAATCAGTAGTAAAACTTAAGCTTAGTAAAGCAGAACTTATAGACAGAGAGGACCCTCCCTCCATTCAGAAAACCAATAGTCAAAGAAGGAAAGAAGCAAAACCTTTGCGAGTGCGTTTCAGTAGCTCAGAACCTCTGGAAAGCACTTCCCTGCTGCAAATGCCAAGAAAATTCTCCTTAGCCACAAGAAGCTCACCACCATTGCTACCACCACCAGTTCCTCCTCCTTTATCCACAGGAATCACTGCTGCCATGTTCCACACTTCCTTCAATGCTCTAGCCTTCAGTGTGGCCGCACCTCGTAAAGCTAAAACGAACACATCTCATTATTATGGTCACTATATCGTAAAATAAAACATCAATGTAGTCAATATTCTACAAAAATACAAACTTTTGGTTACTCTTGAAGATTTTTTTGAATGGGATTGTTTCTTAAACATTAAGAAATTTGGGATAGGAACTAAAGATAGTAATTGTGAAGTATAATTAATCAAGTACCAGTGGCTGCAGCAGCAGTGAGAGTCATGATATCCCCAGCAGACCGGACATTCACAGCGGAGCTGACAACCGATGCCAGGTGTTCACGCTCAGCCCCCATAGACTCGGCTGCTTCAACACACTGAGCAGCCACCAGGGTGGCCGCAGAGGCAACAGCCATGTTTGTCTTAACAACGGTCTCATCCTCCTTACCCGCCCCTGCTGACGTGGTTGCAGCCATAGCAGCAACCGCAGCAGCAACTCCGGCTACTGAAATCGCAGCATGTAATTGCGCATTGTGGGCCCTCATCTCTTCTTTCTTCTTTTCTTTCCGTTCCTTCAACCACCTTCCTACCGTCTTCCCACCACCATTAGCGCCCATTGGAGCTCCATTTTTGAACTGGTTGTTAACTGGTGGTAGGTTGCTTATGCGGCAAAACTTCCCAAGAAAAACTCACACGTGTCAGTAATTAATCAAGGTTGTAGCAAATTAATCACAAGGAACTGATAAAATTCAATACAATAGTTTGGGCTATTTCTTAGCTAATGAACAAGAACAACAAAGAACCAAATATTACCCTGCTATTTCCATTTTTTACCTACATAAATTAATTTTTCAAACACTAATCCAAATGATTAAACCATGGAAATAACATTTCTACACATCCTAACACCAAAGATGGCATGTTCAGACTGCAATTCCAGAATTCGACCATAGAACATAATGTTCCATTGTTTCAGTACAGTTATACTTTCAAACATATCATACATACATACAAACATACATGTGCTGATGTGCCTGTATATTTAAAGAGAGAAAAGAGGTTAGAACCTTGGGGTCATCCATTTCGGAAGGGGAGACGGGCGGGCTGTCGGAAAGAGAGCCACCGCAGCTTTGGCCGCCGTTGAGGGGCCCGCTGCTGTGAGAGAGCCGGCCAGATGTGCGTGGCGATGCATCCTGCTGCTATAGAAGCATTGACATTTTATCATTCAATCCAATATTTGATAAAACAGACAAAAAACGAAAATAAGATTAGGTGAAGTAACGTGATGGTTTGGAAGTTATTACCAGATTTGTTCAAAACGTCATCCAGAAATGATTTATGAATAAATTATACAACAACAAAGATGGAAAGAATGAAAGAAATAAAAAAGAACCGGAGACTTTAGAGTTTAGACTTTCAGGGCTACTCAGCTACTCTGATCAGTGATAATAATAATAAAAACAGAGCAGAAAATCTGAAATAGCACTGGAAATGGATAATAGACATGAGAGGAACCACTTTTGAGTCAAAACCCAGATGGAATTTCCCAGTTTGGAGTCAAAATGTTTTTATGGACAATGGGAATAATACTTACAGACTGAGACATGATGCGTTCCAGAATAAGTTGAGAAGTCTCAGAGGAAGCGAAAGAAAATGGGTTGCCGGAAAGAATGGCGGCTTCTTCAAGCTCCCCTATGATGCTCTCCGGGATGGAGGAATTCCCTCCGGCGAAATTCTTCCCCGAGACCTGAGAAGGAGCTGTAGCTTTGCAGATTTCGAGAGCAGAGACATTCCAAGAGCGGGACAGAAATTCCATCGGCTCCGTCGGCGTCCTCGGCGGCCGGAACATTGGCTGGAGCTGGTCCATTTGTGAACAGAGGGGAAGCTGGTCGGAAAACTGAGTGGGTTTTGGAAGTTGTGTAGCTGGGGGGCTTGGTTTAGTACAGTAGGTGAAAGAGTGGGAGAGACAGAATGTGCAGCACAACAGGCTTGTGTTTTTTGGGAGATAGAGAGAGAGACAAAAGGTGCTGCGGAATTTGTCAGTTAACCAGAGATGTATGTAACTCGATTCTCATTGTCATGGATTAATTGTATATACGGGGTATTTTGTTTATAAAAAAAGGAAAATGTTATGTACATAAGTTATACAAAACCTTTCTACGAGTACTTATTTGTGTATACAGGTAATAATTCATTTAAGGGGCAGCACTTTATGTTAAATTGTCAGTGTACACAGATAATATACACATTTTGTATATAACTGTGTACACCAAGAATAATCCTATACAAAAAGATGACATGTGATCCTTGAACTCCCGTGCCGAAATTGAGAGGATGTAAATTGGAATTTAATCACAAGTTGACATTTTGTTATATATATATATAGGTTTTGGTTCAAATAAGAACACGATCTCATGAGAAAAATAAGAACGAATCTGGACCGTTAGATTTGCCTCAAGTGAAATTCAGTGTGCATTAGATGAAACTGTAATGTGCATTAGGTAAAATTGAAATGTGCATCACAAAGGGTACGATAGAGTGACATTATGTGTAGTTGAATTGTGCATTACGTGAAATTGAAATGTGCACTAGGTGAAGCTGAAATGTGCAGAGTAAAAAGTACGATGTGATGTTATTTTTTAAATTATTGAGGGTATGATGAGAAGATTTAGAAATGGGAAGATATAAATGTTACGTCCAAAAAAGGAAAGTGAGAAGATATAAATGTTACCAAGAGAGTATAAAGAAAGAAATCCCGAACAAATTATCCCTCGTGTTTGAACATCCAATTTGAACATGTCCGGAATATGTATTTTCCGGACCAGTTAACTTGCAAAAATCATTTGACGACCTTCCCGATCGAATTTTGAGCTGAAATTTGGTATGGACAAACTAGACTTGATGAGGAACATGCTCAAAAAATTTCATCAAAAAATTCCACCGCGAAGGTGCCCAAACGGGCTCGGCCGGACGGGGCAGCCCGTCAGGCCGGCCTGATGAGAAGAGCTCTCTACATATATATATATATATATATATATATATATATATATATATATATGGGAACTCTTCCGGTAAGGTATATTTTACCGGAGTCGCCGTGCGGCCTCCACATTTTGAGGGCCTTCCCGGGGGAATTTTTCGATAAAATTTTTTGAGCATATTCTTCATCACGTCTAGTACATCCATACCAAATTTCAGCAAAAAATTCAACCGGGAAGGCAGTCAAATGATTTTTGGAAGATAACTGCACCCTTTGTATACATATAAAACGCAGTTATCTTCCAAAAATTGTTTGACTGCCTTCCCGGTTGAATTTTTTGCTGAAATTTGGTATGGATGTACTAGACGTGATGAAGAATATGCTCAAAAAATTCATCGAAAAATTCCACCGGGAAGGCCCTCAAAACGTGGAGGCCGCACGGCGGCTCCGGTAAGGTATACCTTACCGGAAGTTTTTCCTATACACACACACACACACGATGGGATACATTATTGTAAGGGTGGAGTCATGGACTAAATCGTCAAAGCACACAACCAATATTGCTCCTGCAACTCATTACGAGTTAATTATTATGACTTCTAAAAAATCTGCACTCTCTAAACTTGAAATATGTAGAATTTGATATATAAAATTGATTATATTCTCAAAATTTAAAAACAACGCTTAATTCAATCATTACTTACATGAAATTTATAATGTACATGACATATTTATTAAATACAGAGTATATAACTCTATAAGTAACATTTGAACTACTACTATTTATTTAAACTACTTATGAAACTAGAGGCGGATGCAGGATTTTTCGATTGGCGGGGCAACAGTGTAAAAAAAACATATAAATACATATATTAAAAATTCGGGGGTATATAAACCTTGGAACTTTTTTTGGAGGGGCAATGGCACTCATTAGCCACTGCTTGTGTCCGCCATTGTATGAAACACTTAACTAAGATATTGTTTAGAAAATAATTCATCCTTTTTATTTTGTATTTAGTTAAGTTTTGACCCGCTGAGTCATTTTTTTACTCCACCACCACATTATCGGGTTGAGCTTAAGTTGACATCCCAAAGGTCACTCTGTAGTGTATTCTCCCTTGGATACTTGTAAAATAATGAAATTTTAGGACTTCATTAAAACAATTAAAACAATGGAGAACTGATTACAAATGATAAATTGATTGAATCCGCTGCATTATAAAACAATAGATAAAAGCAATCCACCGGAAAAAAAAACTTTACTAGATTATATTTTGAAATTTTAAATATAATCTACTATGAGTGAAATTTGCAAATGTATGAAATTATAGTACATCTATTATAAATTGGAAATTGTTAATAAAATTCAAATAATTACCCCCATTTCGTTAATAACAAATCCACCAAAAATAGCCCTTAATAAAATATATTTTGAATAATAGATATGAGAAATTAAAAACACGATTCTATTTAGATATTTTCATTTAAGAAAAATAATAAAGCACGATTCCATTCGCTCTTATTTTAAATATTTTGCATTTGTTTTAAAATGTATTAACATGGAACTTAAGACTTATTGAAGAATGTTGCTAGTAACTAAACAAAACTAGCTGTTGGTCTTATATATATGACATCAATTTTCTATTGTTATAAGTAAAAAATTGTTATAAATATCATTTGTAACCGCATCCACCCGATTACCTAGATCAATGATAGACAGATTGAATGTGAATGTATTTTTTGGATGTGGAACTGGGAAATTAGAGAATGAATGTGGATGAACTCCCACCTAGTAAAAGTTCAATCTATTGCAATGCTAGGTTGGACTTGATGTTTTCACTAGATTCAAATAGATTATATTGAATTAGACTTTGACAATAATAAAATACACATTAAATATAACTTTACCAAACAAAATTAGTTCACACTGAATCACAAAATTATGTCCAAGAAGATCCTACAAGCCAATAAAAAATACCGGATAGTATTTACATTTTAAATTACTACTACTTCATTTTTGTGCTAAAAAATAAAAATTGCACTTCAACTTTTAATGTTGATGCAACTATCCACCCTTATTCCCACCACATACTGTGGTTGGTGGATTTGGTTTTGTTCATTTAATGATCGCAGATATTTTTGGATGAAATCATCATTTTCTTTGGTTTAGTAATAGTAGTTTATATTATGCTTCTCTTAGTATTTAATTTATTCCTTTTGTGGAGTGGTTGGTAGAAAAAGTCCGACTACCTCTACTTACTACTTGGAGGGCTTGAAATCCTTTATCAGGGGTGTGCACGCTTAAGAAAAAAGTTCAAACTCTAAATTGGTTGTACTGTGGGGTTCGAGTTACCACAATAAGTCGTGATGAAAGGCGGCCCACATATTTGATCCTGGATACCTGGGGTGAGTCATGGTGATAGGCGACTCATGTATCCACTTGGTTCAGGAATTATTTTGATCGAGTTCTCCCCCATCATTTAAAAGAAGCAAGGGAGTTAAGAGGATAAATGTTTTTTTTTGTGAATTATTAATAGACAAATGATTGGAAAGAAGTATTTTACTCCTATATGATACAGTTATTTATTTCAGACTCCTGTGTTAAGCCGTAAATTATATAAAGTGTGAATAATAATTTAAACGTAAATATGGTTTCAAACTATGTAAATTATTTTGGAATTACATAAATGTATTTAAATATTAAATGGTATTTTATACATGAAAGAAAAATATTTGCAAGTATAGGCAATTTAAAAAATTAGTATTATAAGTACAAAACTATTTTGACCATATATATTATTTCACAGTGTTGAGTGAGTCTTATTTAGCTAGGAGATTAATTTTTATTTCTTTTATATTGTCTTCTTTCTGCACTTAACTTCTTTACGGGGTTGAGGATTGTGCTTGACGGAGAGTGCTACACTACATCACTTATTTAATTATTTACTTAGCTATGGATGTTAAGAACTTGTAGACAATCACTTTGTTCTGAGTTTAATAACTTGAAAATTGTCTTTTATTATGGGTTGTGGTTTAACTTGTGCTAGAAAGAATAAACTATAAAAACTAAGAATTGATACAAGTATTCGATGATGAATAAGGGATGGAAATGAAGGTTTGAACATGCTAAACATTGGTATCTTTTAGTCTATTCAAAGTTATGTCTCATATAATAATATGAAACTTGCAAGTTCCTGATCCCCAAATATATTCACATCAATTAAAAAAATAAGACAACATATTATTGTGTTTATGCAAATTTAGACACAATCGGCACCGGTTGGGCATGTGTCTAGCACCAGTTGCATGTGTGTGTCTCATTGAAATCTCCCAATGACCAACGTTGGTTGGCTACGTAACCGGTGCCAATTACAGTCACTGACATGACCGGCTCTGGATGAGGACATGTGTTGCACCGGTTACTTATGTAATTTTCATCTTGTTTTCATTTCCCGATTAACTTAGAGTTGTCGGTTTTTTATTCATTTTGACTTTTGACCCCTTCCTCTTCACTTTTGGCCGTCTTTCACATTCCTCACACAGTTTAGTTTTTTATATTTGTTTTCTCTTTACACTTCAGTATAGATTAATATAATTATTTGTATTAAATAGAAGTAATTGGTGTACTTATCAAATTCCCCCACAATTGATTGGTGCTAATCCTCCAACAAGTAGAGAATAAATTTAGACACTGTAAACACTAAATCATAAAAATAGAATTTTTTATATAAGCTTTTCTAATCATTATCACGGCAAAAAAAATATTAAACACGGAAAATGTATTTTATACAACTTAGAAAAATGCCCCTCTTTATGAAAACTTTTTTTGTGTGACAATTTTTTGTATAGTAAATTGAGCCATCAGATTTGTTGATGGTTTTTTTTATTACGGTTTAGATATTGGTTGAAATTGAATACAAGTATATATGTTCATTAAAGTGAAAATGAGTTTCTAACATGTTAAATGGTTCTCATCAATTGTATAACTCAATTTCAAAAAGAAGGATATTAATCCGATTATATGGTATAGAACTTTTTAATTATTGTTTTAACATTAAAAAGTATTTTAATACATCTAAAATACTTTACATTTT